AGGAGAGCCCAAAGCCTCAAACCAAAGCTGTCCCCAGTGGTCAGGGAGAGGTCTTAAATTTCTCGGTAAAGCTCAAATCCTACAGCCCTGCCGCATCTGAGGCTGGGGGATTTATTTACTTATTTACTTGAACTCACAACTCTGCATTTACCAGGCAGGGGCTGTCCCCTGGGCTCTATCCCGTGCCAGAGGGATGGTGCCGGCCTGCCGCTCACCACTGCCGATGCTGTGTGTGGATGACAGGGTGATTATAAAGCGATTTGCAGACCGAAAGGAGCAAGTGATCATTATTTGTACCAGGCTGAATCCAGCAGGTGGTGTGACCTTGCTGGCCCTGCTGTGACCACCGTGTTGGATCAGAACACTCCTCTGCTCCAGGATATTAGAACTGATACATCAGGCAGGTCCTCCTGGAGGTGTATGTCCCCCACCCCTGCGCCCCCCCCCCACCCCCGCTCCCACTGAATTTGAATAACAGATTGAAGGGCTAACAGAAGAGGAATTCGCTTCAGGAGAACAGGGAATTTACGGACCACAGCTTGCCCCAGTGCATTTGCTGTGGGCCTTTGAAAACACATCTGCCAGAAATTGGGTAAAACAAGATGGCAAGGCCCTCACCCCGCCCTCGCCCCCGCCACCTGCTCCGGTGAAAAGGCCGATTGAGGCGGCTGGAGTGGAAACCATTCTCGGGGGCATTCCCTAGCCGGTGGCGGGCTGAGCACGCAGTTCGGCTGTGGGCTTCAATATCCCCTTGTAATGTTTTACAACCCAGACTGGGTGACAATGGCACCATTCACCGCACCCGCTCACGCTCACGAGGAACAGAACAGAGAGGGGCTGAGCCGGGCAGAGCACGTGTCCTCTCACCCTGGCCACATCCTGAGACTGATCAGAGCTGTCCGTGGTGAAGCCAGTCCCCTCCTCGGTTGTCACCTGCGCGCTTTGGAGTGGTTGCGTTTACCTAACAGTTGGTGTGTGGGCAGCGGTCTGGAGATAGATGGCAGCTTTGGGATGGGACTGTCTCTGAGCTGTGCAGTCTGGGGCAGGTGGCACAACCTCTCTGAGCTTTTTTAAATCTCTAAAGCAAGGCTAGTCAGACTTGTGGACTGAGGTTCTTTTCGATATTGGATAAAGAAAAATGGAATAGCAGCCGGGGCGCGTGAAAGATCTTAAAGAACAAATTGTGGGAGGCAGAGGAGGAGACGGGATGGGGATGGTGACTGTAAGGAGGGAACCAGCCCCCGGGCTGCCTGTGTCTGCAGCCACGCAGGAAAGCGAGGTATCTGAGCATCACCGAGGTTTCAGCCACAGTGACGGACGTCCACAGGGTGGGCTGGCTGACTGCTCAGCTCCAGTGACGTGTTGTCAGCAGACAGCACCCTGCCAAGGTTGAGGCTGCTGATTCCTCTCTGGTGCTTCAGGCTCCCGCCTGCCTGCCTGGACCCAGAGGTCCCCAGCCCTGCCCCTTCCCGTCTGACACCTGTCACATGGGCTTGGAACACTGCGCTTGTGGCATCAAACAAGATGTTCTTGATGGGTGGGCGGCGGAGATGAGGTGGGAGGCTGCAAGGGCGAGCGGTCCTCGGGATAATATTGCTTCCCCGCTCCTGGGAGCATGGGCAATTGAGAGCAGGGCTTGGCTTTTCCAGTGAGTAATTTTGCAATCTGGCGTGGTTGGATAGGAGAATTCCACGGAGTCCATTGATACATTCTCTTGTAAATTCCCTCAGCCAACATATTTGGAGGATTATTTTCTTTAATTAAAAAGAATAACCATCCCTATTAAAAACATAAAACCAAAAGACATTTTCCCCTTCCTCTTGGAACCCTGACAGCCAAGTACTTGACCTAAACCGACCCAAATAGAATTACCAGCGAGATTTGACAACTCCTGTGGTGTTTTATTATTATTATAACTTTTCTTATTCCTTTCTTTTTTTTTTTCCATTACGTCACTTGAACCGCAAGTCTAGAGCTGCAAAGCTAATTTCATTCCTTTCAGCCAGCTGTCCCAGGGGGACAATTGGGCCAGCAGGGCGGCTCCCAATGGCTCCAGCTGAGGTCTGAGATGGCACATGCCACAGGGAAGCTTGGCCAGGGACCCCTGGGTGTCGAGAGGGCGTCTGCAGTCTCATGGAAACTTGGCAGATACCGTGTGCTTCCCGCTGGCCACTCTGACGTCCTTTCAGATGACAGACAAAGGCAAGGACAGCGGGTGGGGGATGCCTATGCCTCTGAGGATAGCAGAAGGGAGTCATGATCCCCAACCCCTGCTCCCCTAAAAGCATATTGTGCTTTAGAATTGAAAGAAGCAATCCGGGGATGATTGGGCTGGAATTCTGACTGTGTCCTTTTCTAGTTCTGTCACTTTGGAAAAACTAATATTCTGTAGCCTCAGTGTTCTAATCTGTAAATTGGGGATGAAATTATGCCAACTTCATAGGGTCACATAAAGGAGGAAGTGAGGTCAGGCACAGTGCCGCGCACCTGTAACCCCAGCACTTGGGAGGCTAAGGCTGGAGGATCACTATGAGTTCAGGGCCAGCCTGGGCTACATAGTGACTTCATGGCCAGCTGCAACTGCATAGGGAGACCTTGTTTCACTGAGTGAACATCGGAGAAGAAGGAATCTTCTGCGAACCTTCAGGAGGTTTTATGTGTGGTGCGTTACACATTAAATAATGTCAGGTATACCCTTTAATTTTAATAGGTGTTTATTTTAATTGCTTAGAGGGATGATAGTACCATGAGCTTATAAATCCCTAGATATCATTGCTTATGGTGAGGCTAAGCTCATTTGGATAAAAATTTAATTTAACACGTGTGCTATGTTAAGGCAGGCATAGCGGTGTGTGTCTGTACCTCTGGGAGGTCGAGGCAGGGTGATTGCAAGTTTGAACTCAGACCAGGCAACTTAGTGACTTAATAAGCCCATGTCTCCTGGGCCGGGGATTTAGCTCAGTGGCGGTCTGCCTGGCAAGCATGCAGTTGTGAGTTCGATTCCTGGAAAACAAAACAAAACAAAACAAAACCCAAGCCCATGTGTCATTAAAACAAGATAAAATTGATCCCAGGGGCTTTACACGGAGTCACATCCCTAGCACTGTGAAAAAAAAAGTTAAAGAATATTTGGTTATAGGTGATGGCCCAAAATCACAACTGACCGCAGCCTGGAGCTTCCTGGACTTCCTGATTCTCTCTGGCAGTATGGAGCTCTTAGAATCAAAAGATCCATTGCATGAGACAAAGGACGCAGCTTCTGAAGGAGCTGTGCTGAGGGGTGGCCCGAAGACGTCCTGAGTGGCGCTGTCCTGCTGCCCTGTGTCCATGCATTGTTCTTGCCGACCTGTCTGCATCCCTGAGTGTGGGCAGCCCTCTCCCCGCAGTGCGTGTAGGAGTCTTATAGCTGAATGCTTTCTCTTACCCAGTCAGATAATTCTCTCCATGGTCTCTTTTACTTGAAAGTGTCTGTACTGTTCATTGCACAGCACATGTGCACACATTTGCGGGGCGCAGTACCACGCACTTAAAAAGACCTACCACAGTCCGGAGCTGCTTCTGTCTTTTTAGTCTCCAAGCTCCCTCTCTGCCTTCCTCCCCTGCAGACCCCATCTGCGGTCCACCCCATCCGCCAGGCTCCGATTAGGGTTCCTGGTGTTTCTCAGCACCCCCTTTACTTTCCCAGAAGTGGCTTTCCAGGGGCTCCCCGTCCTAGCAGGGAGAGGGCAGGGATTTGAGTCTGGAAGCTGAATGGAAGGTGCAGGAGCAGCCATCAGCAACAGAAGGGCCGGCTCTGAGCCCTTGGGCAGATGACGCCGCGGGTCATCACTCTCAGTTTCCCTGTGTGGACGCGCAGGCTCGGCAGGCTGCGTCTCGGAAGGACGCCCTGCAAGCGCTGCTTCTGGGCCCGGAAGTTGGCTCCGTCTCACTGCAGACCGCAAGCTCTTTTCTATCTCCTTTCTCTTTCTCTCTCCTCTTCCTCCCTTCCCCTCTCTTCCTCTCACCTCTGCTCCATCAGTGGTGATGGTGAGTCCCATTTATTGAGCACTTATGAGCTGTGTCCATTCTGGAGTCTTTCCCTCTCTTCGCTCATCCCGGAAAAACCTTTTTACAGATGGAAAGTGGAGCCGTGAAAAACTAAGTACTTTAGTGGCAATGAGGACTGTAGCCTCAAAAGGAGATTCCAAGACACAGCCGGAATCTGCCTGGGTTTGAGAGACCTAAGACCATACCTGACCTTCCTACTTTTGGGCAAAGACCTCAGCATTTTTTAAGCACAGGTGCAGAGCCAGGTGTGGTGGTGCACACCATAATCCCCTGTGACCCCAGCACTCAGGCAGATGAGGCAGGAGGATCTCTGCGAGTTTCAAACCAGCGTGGGCTACATAGTGAGTTCAAGGCCAGCAAGAATTATGTAGCGAGACACTGCCTCAAAAAAAACAAAAAATAAAAGACAGGTGCATAGAGGTTAAGTGTAAATAACTGCCCAAGTTATCTGGCTTTTTGTTTGTTGGTGAGACACAGTCTCACTGTGTAGCCCATTCTGTGCTTAAACTCACTATGCAGTCGGGGCTGGCCTCTAACTCATGATCTTTCTGCCTCGGCCTCCCGAATGCTAGGGTTATGGGTGTGCCCCACCATGCTTGGCTGTCATCTAGCTTTTGAATTGGGGAATTCAGACACAGAGATTATGTGGAAGTACCTCCAAATGCAATTAATAGTGAAGGGGGGCTCCTAACTGGGGAGTTCCCTTGCCTCTCTGTGTCCAGAACTCTTCCTAGACCTGCTCGCCCAACGTATAAGGCATGAAAAGTTAGTGCCCTGATACAGATCCATGGCATATGAGGCACACGACGTAACTGGGTCACTTTTCTCCTCCAAGGTCTCCTATTTCTCAACCTGTGACCTTTCTGGTGGTTTTTTTTGACTTGTGGCTCAGTCAGTGGAAGGATCTGTACCAGCACACTAATGCTCAGGATTTTCTGTCTTCTCTTTTGCAGTAAAGAATATCCCGTGGTTCCCAGGAGCACCGTGAGGCAAAAAGTGGCCTCCAACCACAGCCCTTTCAGCAGCGAGCCCCGCGCTCTCTCCACGTCCTCCAACTTGGGGTCCCAGTACCAGTGTGAGAATGGCGTCTCCGGCCCCTCCCAGGACCTTCTGCCCCCGCCCAACCCGTACCCCCTGCCTCAGGAGCACGGGCAGATCTACCACTGCACCAAGAGGAAAGGTGAGCGCGCTGACCCATGGCCTCCTGCCGAGTGGGTGCGTGGGGGATGGGCACTGGGGTTGGAGCATGCGCAGTGACGTTGCTTTCCACTAGAACGCGTAAATCACGGGAAAACATAGTGATGATCAGAAATTCAAGCCACACGAGGAAAACAAGAGACTCCCTTGATAAATTCCACTTCCTTCTGATCCCTTTCTTGTGGAAAACGAACATGACATATTCAGATCTGTTTCATTTATTCATGCAAGCTTGCATGCTCTGCCGCGTGCACATGCACTGTAGCACGTGCATGCGTGCACACTCAAAATATTTATACGGGTGGCACGCACATGCACGTTCAGAGAAAGAAGCTTTGTGTGTCCAAGAGTGTGTGTCTAAGGGTCGAACCCAGGGGCTCTCTATTATACCTCCGACCCTTTTTGATTTTTCATCAGGCTGGGATTATAGGCATACACCATTGTGCCCAACGAAACTTTTGTGTGTTTGCTTGTTTACTTTTAATACAGGTGATATCATACAGCATGCATTTTTCAGCTTCCTTTTTTTGCCCCTTCGCTTTGGGTTATGGGGTATTTTGGGTGCTGGGGATTGAACCCAAGACCTTGTGCTTGCCAAGCACGTGCTTTACCACTGAGTGACACCTCCAGCCCCAAGATGGAATTTTAGATATGTTTTTGTAACCCTTGGTCTGCTTTGTTCTTTTTTTTTTTTTGTCTTTTTCCTTTTTATCAGTACCAGGGATCGAACTCACGACTGCCTGCTTGCAAGGCAGGTGCTTATGCCGCTGCGCTAAATCCCCAGCCCCTGTCTGCTTTGTTCTTGCTAACCTCCACAGAGGAGGTACTTCCAGGATGCAAAAGATGAAGCAGCTTTTTTTGCCTTCCACTGTTTTCTTTGTCAAATAGAAATAGATGAATTTCCCCTAAGTGATCTGAACCGGAGAGGTGGTGTCAAAGAAGTAAAAATTGTAGGTACCTCTGGTAGCTGGAATCAAGGTGCCTGGCATAGTGGGAGGTTGCTCTGGCCATTGGAAGGCTTTGGTGTACAAACTGGCCCCCTGGGGAGGGGAGGGCACACGCAGAGAAGCCTCAGAGACCTGGCTCTCAATCTCAGCTCTGCTGCCACTTCCTGTCCGGGGGACCCCAGACCTTCAGCGTCTCTAAGCCTGTGATTCCCCACTTCGTAAAGGGTGCCAGGTTCCCCAGGGCACCTGATGTCTGATCAGCGCTGTGTAGCTGGTAGCTGCAGCTGAGTAGGAGGTGGACACCACTGTGGACATTAAGTCCCTGGAGGAAATGAAGAGACAGCTGTGGTCTCAGAATTGGTCAGGGGGCCCCATAGTTGGCATTTGGGAATTTCTGTGAGTATGGACAAGTTGCTTAAACTCTTAAAGAGAGACAGAGACAGAGACAGACAGACAGAGAGAGAGGCTGGGAATTTGGACAGGTCCTTTCTCATAGGCTTGGTATGAAGTCATCGTAGAATCATGCATGCCCAGTGTTGGTTCAAGGTCCATCAGTAAGTAGTCACTGTTTTGTTCTGAGTTTTCAGTGTGGCCTGTTGAATCTTGGGGCTCCAGCAGCCACATGATGCCTTTGCATATCTGGGGATCTGAGTCTGGGCCTCTAGAAAAAAGTCACTGGCCTCAAGCACCAAGGAGGCTTTGCCAGCTCCCCCGGGGCTTGAGTTGCCACAAGGGAAGCCACACGGCTTGACTGTTTGACGTTTACCTGTGCTGGGTTTGTTTTTTGGTTTGTTTCTTTCAATCCTGGGGATGGAAGCCAGGGCCTGGTGCATGTGAGGCAAGTGTGCTGAGTTCTAGTCCTGCCCCCACCTTGGATCTGAAGGAGGCTCAGGCTGTCGTGGGTCCTTAGCAGGGCTGGGAGCTGACCTGGGGGACACCTGACTTCTCTCTGTACCTCCTGGATCTCGAAGGCCTGAACAACATCACCCCAACAGCCCCTGGACCCAACTCCCAGCGCGTCCGAAGCTGGATGAGCTGGTGACCAGATGCCTGCAAACACGTGTGTCCCTCTGGGGGCAGCTGGGGAGGGGGAGTTCCCTGGAATGCAGGTCCTGCCCAGAGAGCCTGCTTTACATTACCCCAAAGGTGCCTTTCCTTGGTCCAAAACCTCTCAACAACACTGCTCGTTGGGTGCTTTTACGGATGGGAAACTGAGGCTCAGAAAGATTAAAAAGATGTGGCAGTGGCTCCCCCCCCCCTTTGGCAGTGAACGCAGGGCCTTTGCACTGAGCTGCATCCTGGCCTTTTTACTTTTTACTTTGAGAGAGGCTCTGGCTCAGTTGTCCAGGCTGAGCTCAAACTAGCTGCCATCCCAGAGTGCTGGAATTACAGGCCTGTGCCACCATGCTCAGCTTTGTAGGTGGTTCTTGAAAGTGGACTTTGAACCCAAATCTGGCTCAAACAGGTTTGCAAACAGGGTAGCCGGTGCCCTTAACCACTACTCTGCCCTGTCTCTGGTCCATTGCTTTTCAGCTACATCCTCAGAATTATGCCTTCCATAGAGGATCTGCCTCGGAACCTGGGTGAGATGTGCTGGTTATGAGCTCACCGGGTTTGAATTAAGGAGCTCTGTTTATTAAATTGATGCCAGACCAAAGGCAAGGGAGGAGGAAGTTGAGAAGAATCAAAGCGAGTTTTAGGTCAGCATTTACAGCGTCCTACGAATGTGTCCTACGGATGCCTTTCAGGCGGGTGCATTGGGAAGATTACCGATGCGAGGCTGATAGAGCTGTGTGGTTGTGTGAGCAGTTGCCTTTTCCAGGACACTTGCAAGGTCCTCAGATGAACTTATAGTCAACTATGTGGCCACTGGGGCAGGGCTGGAGTTGGTGGCTGGTTTGTTGCAGAAATAATCACAGTTGCTGATACATTGCAGCAGTGTGAGTGTGGGTGGGTTGCTTCACCTCTCTGTGCCAAGTGGAAGACAGTAGCAATGTCCAGCTGAAAGGGTGTGGTGAGATGACCTGAGCCACATAAAGAGCTCAGGACAGCATCCAGCGCTTCTGGACGTGGTAAATACCCACTGGCCCCTGAGGTGCTCTTCATGGAGTCTGTGCACTGATGAGCAGGTCAGGCATGATGCCAGTGACCTTAGAATTGTTTCACTGAGATTGCGATTGGATGCTATGAAGGAGATGTGTGCAGGGTACCAGTGATCGCAGTGGGGCATCCGACTAGGTGGGAGATCATGGGAGAATTGGAGATGGCACCTGGGCAGTGTGGTAGCCGGCTGAAGGTCTGCAAAAGGCTGAGCTGCAGGACTGCAAGTACGGGAGAGGGGTGGGGGTTCACCCTTGAGAAAGGCAGGCACAGCCCTAGGTGACAGTTTCACTAAGGCGTGCAGGTGTCACCCTGGCCCTGGCCCTGGTGAGCAGCTGTTGGCAGAGTAAACAACTGGGCGTGCCAGCACTAGGTTTTTAGTTTGGGAGTGGCCACTTTGCAGGGACAGTAGCGACCTGAATGGACGCCAGAGACCCACGGAGGGGCTGGTGCAGGCTTGGAGGTGTGAGTTGTTGGGGGAGAAGTTGGGGATGCGGGTGGAGAGTCAGGACCAGGACGAAGTGACTGGCTGGAGATAACGAGGTGAAGAATTGTCCCCTTTTTTCACAGATCCGGAAACTGAAGCTCAGACAGGTCGAAGGACCTGGCTGGTGGGTGGCCCAGGCTGAGCCTCCCTCTGGGGCCTGTGAACGTGGGGTGCATGGGGTGTACATCTTGGAGAAGGCCTGTTGCCCATCTCACCTCCCTCTGCCCCCTAAAGAAAGCTTCTGGTGACGGGGAACATGCCAGCCAAGCTGTGTGTGTCACGTCTGAGCAGAGACAACAAATAGTGATTCATCATCAGCCTCCACAGTGTGAGGAGATAAGGAGTCAGGGAGGCTTCCTTCCAGCTTGGGATCCCCGCGCAGTGATAACTCCGTGGGTGGCTCCCCTGCTCCGTGCCTGCTGGCTGGCTATCTGCTTCCCCTCATTGTCTGCCTCCTGTGCAGCCAGCCCAGGAGCCAGGCCCAGAGAAATGTCAAAGGGCCACTGGGCCAGAGGCCGCCCTCGTGTTTGGACTGCGCTGTCTCCAAACTATCACTCCCGATGGATTGAGTCAGAAAAGCTGAGAAGGTCTTTTATCAATGCCACTCAATCAAACCCAGGACCCGGGGCCTGGGATAGAGCTTGTTTGTCTGTCTTTCCCCTCCGACCCTGACTCTTATTCTGTCCCATTAGCAATCAAACATTACCCAAATAAAGACTGGAGCCAAGCCACTTGCAAACATGGATGTTCCAAGGGGAAGGGGCGGTAGGTGCTGGAAAAGGCTGTGCAGCCTGCATTTTCTCATGCTGTGTATTTCTAAAAAGCAGTTTCTCATTCTTTCCTTTGTTGGATCCTCATAGCAGCCTTTGAGCTAAACAAAACACCCTCACCCCCATTTTATAGGGGGCAGAGAACTAAGAGCTGAGGCTAGAGTCTGAGAGTGGATGATTGATGAGTGATGGACCTGGGCTTCACTCATCAAGTAAATATTTACTGAGCGCTTAGTATGTCCTGTGCACTGTGCTGGATGCTTGGGGATAAGCAGAGGACCAGGAGGAAAGGCCCTCAACCTTCGAAACACTTGAATTTGTATCTCGGGGAGAGATATTAAGTCTGCAGTTACATTGAATGATTTCAGATGGAGCTGAGGGGACACTTGGAACAGTCTTTTTCTTTTTTCTTTCTCTTTTGGCTGTGCTGGGGCTGGAACCAGGGCCTCCTGCAGGCCAGACAAGTGTTTTGATTGCTAGTTGAAGTCTTTGCTGTAATATCATTCCCATCATTTCCATTCTAACCTAAGTGCTAGAAGCCTGGGAACACACACTCACAACCCATCCGTGCTTCCATGTATCCATCCACACATCTAATCCATTCATCTATCCATCCATCTACCCATTCACCCATCCATTCATGCATCCATCTATCCACCCATCCACTCATCTGTCCATGCATCCATCCATCTATCCACCCATCCATCTATCCATCCATGCATCCATCCATCCATCCATCCATCCATCCATCCACCTATCCATCCACCCATCCACCTATCCACCCACCTGTCCATCTATCCATGCACCTATCTATCCATCCATCCATCCATCCATAACGGGGAAGGGTTACTACTTTGCCATGTTGGCTGAGCATGTTGAGTTCCATGAAAGTAGAAACTCCAAGACCAGCTGTTAGGATGCTCTATTTTGTGAGCCCAAAAGCCTAAGTTAGAGCCATCATTCTAACTTGCCAAAGGTCACTTAGCTGGAGAGTGACCACTTATCGCTCAGACTCGATGGTCTCTGTCCATGAATCTTTTTTTTGTTTTTTCTTTTTTCCAGTACCGGGGATCGAACTCATGACCGCCTGCTTGCCAGGCAGGTGCTTATGCCACTGAACTGAATCCCCAGCCCCTGTCCATGAATCTTGCGAAAGTGTTTCATCTAAGCAGACTCAGTCCGCAAGGGAAATGACCCATTTGGGAATTGTGAACATATTTGCTTAATAGGATTAGTGATTTGAAAGGAATTCTGTGAGGCTTCCAAGCTCTGGAATCCACTCAAATACCCCCAAGTACTAGGTGACCTTCAGAAAGCCAGCTGTCCAGTACTCCAAGGGAGAAAATAGGAAACAGTGAGTAGCCCCGGAATATTTGGATAGATGAGGTTAGAACCAAGAGATAGCAAAGTCTATGCTGACTTACTGTGCAAGGAAGATAGCAACTGAAGTGTACTTAGCATTTATTATCTCAATTAAGTACAACAAGAAGTTTGGGTTTCGTTCCTGCTTACAGTCAAGAATTGAGATGGTAGGCGTCCAGTGATTCATGTAGCAGGCATCAGAGCCAGAACTGTGTACCTTAAAAATCTGGGTTCTGGAGTCATCATTACAAAGTCACTTTTTACGGAAGCAAAACCATCTGGAAACTTCCCAGGGGCCAGGGATTTTCACAGTGCTCCACTGAGAGGAGCGGCAGAGTTAAGTGCATCCCTGTTATCTTTGAGACTTGGCTGGAATCAGGGTCGCTGGTTGCTTTTTCTTTCTGGATCACTCCAGGACCTTCACACTGAGCTACACTACCAAGACCTTCTTTTGTTTTGAGTCCGAGTTCTGCTAAATCACCAAGTTCCCCAGGCTGGGCTTGAACTTGCCATCCTCTTGCTTCAGCCCCAGAGTGCCAGGGTTACAGGTGTGCACCACCACGCTTGGCCTAACACACACTTCCTGCAGCTGAGTGGTGGACTCATCTCCGAAGACCTGATCCTTGACCACAACCCTTACAGAGTCATGGACGCTAGTTAGATAGAGGAAAAGAAGCCTAAATCGACCCCTGTCCAGAGCATTGATCTTGACTGACCTGAAGCTTGGATCGTTGCTTTGGAATTTCTTTCTAAGATGGTGAGCACCGAGAGGAATGGGAGAAGGCTGAGGGTCTGCTTTCATCAGTAAACCACACTGAGTTTTTCCTAGTGCTCTGCATCAGATCTTTGGAATATTAAAGACTGGAATGCATAATTTTACGATTTTCTAAAATGTGTTCTGGCCTTTTTCTTATTATACTCCTTTTTTGACTTGTAACAAATCTGGAAAGGGATCAGAAACTTGAGAATGGTTAGCTTGCTCGGTTTTCTTTCTTCCTTTCTTTCTTTCTTTTTCTCTTGCCAGGGTACCCTGCAGCTGTACCTTCTATTATTGAAAAGGGGAACGCCCTGGTTAAATAATAATAACAAAAAATCCAAAGTTTATGAGTCCAGCAACGATGGAAACATTCAGATTTATGGATCTGGTGGGCGGAAGGCAGAATGGATGGGAAAGAATTGGGAAAGGAGGCAGCGGGGACACAAAGGAGCCCGGTGTGGCAATGGCTTTGGGACTCCAGCGAAGCACCCGTCTGAGACACGGCCACGCGCTCATCTGGATGTCTTCAAACATCTGGGTTCCTGGCATGATGAGGTGGAACACCTGCAAGAGTGACTTCATTTTTCTCTTTCTTTTTTGTGCAAATGTTTGGGCATCCTATGGGTCCCAGATGTGTCCCAGAACAAGTAAACCTGGATGCTGGGAAGCGAGTAACCATGCTGTGAAATAACTTTTGACCCACTCTTGGTGTCCCTTAGGGAATGTGGACGTGTTTGGTTGGACGCCCAGAGCCGAGAGATTTACTGATGTCCGAGTGATTTATGTCTGTGGTTTGCCTCCAAGTCCCAGCCTGTCGCCCTTCCTCTCCCACTGCTGCAGGACAGTGGGCACCGGCCGGGGATGTGCACCTAAGGTCATATCTTCCTTGGTTACCTCACTGGCTGTGGCTCCTGCCCCATTCGCAGGAGGAGCTCAGTCAATATCTTCTGGTGACTGGAGGAGAGAGACACATGGAACAGGAGAAAACTAGACAGCTGGAACCAGGCACGGTCTTGCCTCTGAAACCAGGCTCTGTTCCTTCCTTGCTGTGTGACCTTAAGCAAGTCTCTCTGAGCTTCACATTCTGCCTCTGGGAAACAGGCACCAGGGCAGATCCCTGGAGGAACTGCTGAGATTTCAGGAGGCCCACTTAGTAGGTGTTCAATAAATAACAGCTCTTGATTTTTCCTCCCATTATGTAGTATGCTGTTTTGTCTTCCTGACTGTTGGTTAGCGTAGGGAGTTGTGCAGAAGCTCCAATTAATTTGCGCCTGTCAAAGTTTGTCCTTTTTCCTTCCCTTCCTGTCTGTCTCTTCCCTCCCCTCCCCTCCTCTCCTCCCATCCTCCTCCCCTTTTCTTGTGCCCTGGGGTTGGAACCCACATGCTAACCAAGTGCTCTACCACTGAGCTACATTCCCAGCCCCAGACACAATTTCTTAAAGTTGATTAGGAAGAGATTGGAAGATGAGGAAAGGAAGTGTTCAGTTCAGAGGGTCACATTCCAGCTGAGGAAGGAGCCTGTGTTGAGGTTTGCACCTTGGTATTTATCCAACCAGTACAGCCCCAAAGGAATTGGTGAGAGGGGTCATCATGGCTTAGATCTTAGATCTTCCATGAGCTTGACTGGCAGGCTGTCTCTGCAGCCAGAGCTGCTGTCCTTGATGGCGGTCAGGAGAGCCACACAGTGTGAACCTCATTTAGATTCTTAGCACCCAATGAGGTAAGTGCTGTGGACCCTAATTCAGAAATGACCAACATGAGTCTGTGAGGGCACATTCCCTGCTGGGATCACACAGATGTTGAGGAAGGAGCTGGATGCAAGCCCGAGTATGTCTCGGCCCCTTAATTTAGGAGCTGGACCTTAGGGAATTCTCACATCCCTGAGTTCTGTAAACAACTGCATGTGTGCATGCAATATCAAAACATCGTGTTACGGTGTATTTTTCTAGGAGACTGCCCAGCCGTGCACTTTTGTTAGTTCCTGGAGGGGCCAGTGGCTCCACAGTGTGAAGGAACTCGCTCTTCTCAGAGGTGGGATTAGCTCCTGCTCCTGCCCTGCACCAGGAACTAACTGGTGTGTAGAGGGAAGGGACTGGCTTTGCAAGGAAAGAGCAACGTTTTACTTTGTACATTGTCATGAAATACTAGCTGAATACCTGCTTAAATATGGCACTGGGGAAGGGCTTGATTCAGGATCCCATCCCTTTGTCTATGTGCCCATTCATCCACTCACCCATTCATCGTCCATCCATCCTTCCATCCATCCATCTGTTTGGCCGTGCATTGCTCACATATTCGTGTGTGCTTCTTCCATGTAGCGTGGTGGTGAACAGCTGGGTCTTTGTAATCAGACTTCTTGAGTCTAGACCTGGATCTAACATTTATAGGCCATCCAAGACCTGGGCTGAGTCACTTAACCTCTTTTTTCCCCTATCATCTGTTAAATGGGAATAACCTCTTAAGGCTTCTTGTGAAGATCACATGGATCCCCACTGCACAGTGCTTAGAATGCTGTCAGGCAGAGTTAGTTAGCTGGATTTACTGCTATTGTTGGAACTGTTTTATCATGACTGGGCGTGTGTGAGATATCAGAGCCTGGGAGTATAGTTAGATAAAACAACAACATCCTGGCTGCATGGAATTTACATGTTAGTGTAAAGGGAAAGTGATAGCAATAATAATCGCTCTTTATTGAACTTGCCTTGTGTTGGACTCTGTACTAAGTGCTTAGCACATATTTTCCCATTTAATTCTCAATGATGCCCTTCGTAGGACCTGTTTCATTTTACACATGAAGCAGCTGTAGGTTCAGAACTCCGTAGCCCGGGGATTTAGCCACGACAGTCCACCCCTTTGGATCAGAGTGGAGGTTGGAGCTAATAACCTCCTCTTCTTTGGCCGAGTGTCTGTCTCTGCTCTTGGTTGTCTGGTGGCTGGTCCTGGTCTCACTGGTGTCTCTCTTCCTGTCTTAGATGAGGAATGCTCCACTACAGACCACCCCTACAAGAAGCCCTATATGGAGACGTCCCCCAGCGAAGAGGACTCCTTCTACCGTCCCAGCTACCCCCAGCAGCAGGGCCTGAGTGCTTCCTACAGGACAGAGTCCGCCCAGCGGCAGGCCTGCATGTACGCCAGCTCTGCACCACCCAGCGAGCCAGTGCCCAGCCTGGAGGACATCAGCTGCAACACGTGGCCCAGCATGCCCTCCTACAGCAGCTGCACGGTCACCACGGTGCAGCCCATGGACAGGTTACCCTACCAACACTTCTCCGCACATTTCACCTCAGGGCCCCTGGTCCCGCGGCTGGCCGGCATGGCCAACCACAGCTCCCCGCAACTCGGAGAGGGGATGTTCCAGCACCAGACCTCCGTGGCCCACCAGCCTGTGGTCAGGCAGTGTGGGCCTCAGACTGGCCTCCAGTCCCCTGGCAGCCTGCAAGCCCCCGAGTTCCTCTACTCTCACGGCATGCCCAGGACCCTGTCCCCACACCAGTACCACTCTGTGCACGGAGTCGGCATGGTGCCAGAGTGGAGCGAGAATAGCTAAAGGCAGGCTGGCCTCGTGAGAGACATCTGCCAGGGAGAGAGCAAGAGAGAAAGAGAGACAATCGTGAAGACAGCCCATAGACAAGGTTCGCATTGCACCCTGTGTGCAAGTTGACACTCGGGCTCGCTGGACACTGACATGATTAGTACCTTGTGACCACCATTCAAAACTTGTGGCTCTGTTGTTTTGTCTCAAGACTTAAAACAAAACAAAAGAAGATGACCCGCACCCTACACCACCACACTCTTGACCGGTCATATCTCACCACCCCAGGTTTCTTTGTTTCCTTCTTTTGGGTTCCAGAACATCGGCCCCACTGTTTGCTCCTGATGCATAGTCGGGGTCTTTCTCTGTCCTGGTGTTAATGTTGACTTTGTTATATAATAAATAATAATATATTTTTTTCCTTCTAATTTTCTTCCTGGGACCCAGTCCCGTATTAGAGGGAGATCAGAGGCAAGTCTAGTTCAAAATATGTCTTTGTAGGTTTCCTAACCAGCCCTCAAACTTTGACTCACCAGCCTCCTGTCTGAGAAAAGCACCTACCTCTGCCGTGGAATGTTTCGGAAGGGTTCCCCAGTCCCCAGCTGGTGTTTTTGATTTTGTTCTGCCTTCGCCGTGGTTGTGATGATGCTCGCTTCTGGCTTCTGTTGTGGATGGAGTTAGGATAAGATTGGGCTCCATCTGACACCCTATCTTCCCGCTGGCTTCCCAGCTTCGGGTCCCTCCAGCCGTCTGTCGCTAAATCGTGGCCTATAGCTTCCTGTCCGGAAATCTTGCTTTGGAAAACTTAAAAAGCCCTGGTTTACATGTGGGCAGGACCGTGATAAGCAGGGTACAATCTGTGTGCTGACAAGAATTGTGAAAAAAAGCCAAAACAAATATTCTTCGCGATAAAACACAAAGCCAGCCCCTAGCTTCCAAACTTCCGTCACCAGGGACCCAAAAGGGATACGGAGGAAAAGCTACTCTTCCTCAAGAGCTCGCTGAGGATTTCTCTCCAATACAATTGCTCCAGTGCTGACGCCGCAGCGAGAACAGAAAACAGTATTAGAAAGAAGTGTGCACGTAACACGTTACCGTAGGGCTCCTCGATGTAATATTTTACTTGTACTATTTATTTATAAATGGGAATTCTAATTAAGTAATAACATGAAGCCCAGCATGGGAGTTGACCAAGAGCTTTTAATTTTATTGCTACTCGAATCCAAGTTTGTGTTTCTTTTTTCCCCTTTTGAATGTGCTTTGCTTTCTTGATTTACGATTCTGACCCTAATTAAAGAAAAAACAAAAAACAGGGTAATATGTGAGGCTGAGTCTGTCCATGTACGAGAGAGCGTGAGGGTGTTCGTGGCGAGTGTCTTTATGCAGTTTTGTCTTTTTGATGTCGCTAAGGGGGGAGGGCGAGAAGTACTCATGCCCTATATGTGTGTGCTAATTAATGCCTAATAAATACTACGTGCTTAAAACGGAACAAGGACTTTAACACCCATTTTTCCCCCATTTCTGTTCTCCCTGCTGATCTCAGAGAAGGGGCTGGGAGGTGGAGGAAGCCCAAAGCTGTGTATTTACCCACCAGTGAGCGACCTGGGATGAAGTTATTTGCTTTCATCGGGTCTGTGCTCCCGTGGGAAAAAGGCCATCCTTAGAAATCCCAATGGACCAACACTGGCCTTGGTCTCACGGTGTCACCTAATGCTTGGTTTTCTGGGGTCTGTCTTTCTCCGAATCGGTGGTCAAGTTTGGGTGTCTCGGTGACCCCATTGTAAACAACTGTATGGATGAGCCACGGACCAGTACGTTTTTCAATGTCAACGGGAGTTTGTTCTATGTAGAACACAAAAATCATAGAGCAGGGAAACCAATCGGTGGGTGAACGAGTGTTCCTGTTTCCAAGTTTTGTGATTTTGGTGCCCGCATGCCTCAGATGATCACAAGCCATCCAGTGTGCAGCATTCCCTTGAAAAAGGAACAATTAAATTGTTGATTGCAAATTATTCATTTCACTGCCCCCCCCCCCCAGAACCTCCCCTGAGAAGTGTGAATTAATTATAAAGCAAGGACAACGCCGCTTCTTCTAGGCACGTTGGAGAAACTAGGTCAGTGGGTTGTGTGTCCTCCAGGGACCGAATTAGTAAAGTTTCACCGAGTAAGTTCTGACTGTATTTTAAAGAGATCTTGATTCTGATGAGTTTAATTTTAGAAAATTTGCCTTTGAAAAACAATTACCTCCCGAATTAATTTTACCAACTATCAAAGATTGTCAGATAATCTTATGCTTTCTGACGAGCCTCATGTAAATATAGTTTGAGTATCTCTCATCAGAAATGCTAGGGGCTGGAAGGGTTTCAGAGTTTATAATTTCAGTTTTGGATTGTAGATATTTGCACATATATATATGTGTGTGTGTGTGTGTGTGTGTGTGTGTGTGTGTGTGTGTGTATGTATTTGGGGTATGGCTTCCAATTCTGAATATAAAAGTCATTTCATCATGTGAAGGGAGTTCTTAGTTCACTGAGTTTTGACTGTGATCTGTCACGTGACCTATCACCTTGCCTGTCACATTTTCCAGCAACACATGGGCACTTGGAAGGTTTTGGGTTCTGCGATATTTCGGATTGCAGAATTTTGGGTCAGGGATGCACCACTTGTGCCGAACCTGACCCCTCACCTCCACTGCTCAAACGTTTGCCGCTGCTCCAAGACCATTAGAAACATGTTCACAGTAAGTTTCTGGAATCAGAGAAGGGAATGCTGTGATTCCATTAATAGATACACATCCTGTTGAGGTCCAAACAGTTACTACAATGGGTCTTTTCCTGAATCAATAGAATTAAAGATATCCCAGCGTTCGCATAGGTGGATTTGTGGTGGTGTTTTTGCCTGTTTGTTATGGAGCACTAGGGATTGGACTCAGGTAACACTGAGCTACCTCCGCCCTTTTAGTTTTTTATTTTGAGACAGGATCTTGCTAGGTTGTTCAGGCTGGCCTCAAACTTGTGATCCTCCTGCCTCAGGCTCCTGAGTGCCAGGGTTACGGAGGTGCATCCCCAAGGTTAGCTAGTTTTATGATCATGTGGACTTCTGAGCTGAACTTTAGTAGAGAGAATAGCTGGGTAAAAGTTGGGGAAGGAAAACACTCCAGGCAGAGGACCAGTTTTGCAAACACCCAAGGGTAGAAACCGTGAAGGAAGCCTGAGATTTCACGGATAGCCATCGCCAGTCTGGATTCTTTCACTCATTCGGCAAACACCCTGTGTTCGGCCCTACCCTGTGGGTGTGCATACACCTCTCCACGCTGAGGATCTAGCACTATTGTAAGGCTCACGTCCAGTTATGGGGTCACGTGGACACAGCTGTGAAGCTCAGATTCTGGTTGTGTGGGCTGGTGGGCTCTGGGCGTGGGAGAGAAGTGTGATAGCATTCAGACACTTAGTATTCCTGAGCTCAGAGAGGTTAGGAAGCCTCCTCAGGTCACCCAGCGGAAGTGTGGCAGAGTTTAGCAGATTCCCTCAATTTATCTAAGCCTCAGCTTCTCCCTGTACTGCAAACAGATGCCCTACCTGTCTCAAAGGACTGGCCTGAGTTTAACTGAAATAATATTCGGGGAATATCCAATGAAATACTTTATACAGTGCATGCTACAGTAAGGCTTGAACAGACTTTGATCAGCGAAATACAATTGTTTATTCCCCAACTTTGCAAATACATATTTTAAAAATAATGATGCCTGTTGCTAATGAGGAAACAGGAAATTTCACCAACTCTGATGGGATGAAAGTTCGTTAAACCTTTTGGGAGAAGACTTTGGCAAAATAAACCAAGTTTTCAAAATGGTGCTAAGCATGAAATCGGGTAAGTTTGCTTTGAAGATTTGTCCTGAGAAAATAATGGAGGATGTGCATAAATATTTTTAGGGAACTTTGTCTTGCTTTTTCTCTCTTTTAATCTTGCAAAATTTGAGACAGACTTAATAGCCAATTAGGCTGACCAAGTCAGTGTATGCTCATACGGGATACTGCGTTGCAATTAAAAAACAGAAGGTTTTCCAAGGGGTGTTGTAAGCAAAAGAAGCAGGTTACGGCTGAAACTCCAGGTTCTGAATTTTATGAGGTATTCACTCATGCTTAGATGGGGGCGGGGCAGTAATACCAGCGGTGAGATCAGGGGTGCTCCCAGTTTCTTCCTGCTTTCCAGTATTTCCCTTCTTTTCTTAATGAGGAAGATGCTTTATCCAGATCAGTATCATAAAATCCAGTTTGTCTCTGGCATTGGTTGTCAAGAGCTTGAGAGGAGGAGGGCGGGACACTTCTGTTTCTTTGGGGTTGAAGGATGGGGGTCCTGTCACAGGTGGCGGTGACCCAGGCAGTGACAGAGCTGGTCCCAGTGCCAGCTGCCAGTTGCTCGTCACAAAACCTGCTGTTGCCATAGCAAAGCAACGCTGGACACTGCGGTCTCTGCTTCTAGGGCTGCTGCCTCCTCTCCTGCCGTGCTGGGTGGGAGAGGTTACTGTCCAGGGGCGAGCTCTTTGTTCCTTGTTAATAAATACAATGTGCAAACTCATACACACACACTTCACCTCTGGCTTAGCCTGGGTTATTATAATTTTTTTTTGTCTTTTTCCTTTTTATCGGTACCGGGGATTGAACTCACAATTGCCTGCTTGCAAGGCAGGCGCTTATGCCCCTGAGCTAAATCCCCAGCCCCTTGGCCTGGGTTATTAAAGTCACTCTCTCACTCACTACTCATGACTCTGCACACATCACTTAACCCCTGTGACTTTGCATATGCTTGTTTGTGGCCCAGGGCTCACCCCAGAGCATTCTGGGTCTAGGGAGGCTGCCAGGAGGTCCTGTGGTCACACAGAAGCCAGACATGGAGAAAATGCTCAGAACCATTAGCTGATTAGAAAAAGATGAATTGGTAAGTGTTTCTGATTCTCCTCCTCCTCCTCCTCTTCGTCGCCTCCCTTCTCTTCCTTTTCTTGTTGGAAAACCTGCCCCTTTGATCATCTATTAGTTTTATAGCAGACTTAAGCTTAGCAGGGGTTTGGAAAACGTCTCGGGCACCATCCCCACCATCAGCACCAGCATAATCACCGTCACTGTCACCATCATCACCTTCAGCAATAACTAAAACCACCTCCCCCGTTGGCATCTGCCTCAACATGATTTAAGCGGCTGACTTTGTAAGTGGCTAGCAACCCTGAACCTTCCTGGCCAGGAAGAGGAGACACTAACTTTTACACCCCTAGGGCTGGTCATCCGACCCCCTTTCTTTTCTGATCTCAAAATACATTTTTATTCCATTTTACAAAGGGATCCTGCATGTTAATCCCACCTGGAGTGGGGTCCCTGATCCTCCGTGAGTGTTGGGGTATCGGGAGAAATGTTGGCCGTGGC